AATATGGGTTAAATTATCTGTTGGGTCTTGCTTGTTGATGGTTTATTTGTTGTTCAAATGTGATTTCGTTTAGTAGTTGTGTATGAACTTAATGGGATTGTAGTTGCAAATACGATTTCATCTTAGTGTTTTTGACTTGCTCGAGAGAGAGGCAGTAAAACTAAGACTACTAAATTGATAGCCGATGGTATTTTCGAGAGAGTGAATGGTCTAAGGCGGAGGCAGTGCTTAATGCGGCAACTCAGTGTTCAAGAGAAACCAAGTTGATTCGGGGTAAGTTGCTTGAGAGAGAATTTACCCCTACTATAGTCTAGCCTAGTCACAAATGCTCAACAATTTACTATCAAAAGCATGTACCCGATAGTCTAGTTTATCACGTATTCCTATCACATCCCAAGAATCTCATCTCCATATCTCGTTTCTTTATATTTTTGTCGTTTTTGTTGAATAGTTAATACAAACCTCCCATTGATAATTGACGCTTGCGTCACCCCTTAGATTTAGTATGTTTTTATTCGATAATGTTTATAGCTATGACTGGTTAGAACTTAATTTTACTTTTATATTAATTCTCAAAACCACTCCCTGTGGAACAATCCCAACCCTTGGTTGGGTTATATCACTACACGCGATCGTTGGCACTTGAACCGAAATAGTGTCAGTTGATTACGTCGAACATCAAGACCTGATCATAATACCTGACCCAGGACCTAACTACTGACTTGTGTAGGGTGGATGAAAAGAAGATTTTTGTCTGGAGTATTGTGTGACAAAAAGGTGTCACCAAAACTTAAGGGCATGTTTTATATGTCTAATGGTGGTTAGATCAACTAAGTTGTATGGGGCAAGTTGTTGTCCAGTTAATAAAAACTCTCACGTTCATACAATAAAAGATTCAAAGATAAGGATGATGTGGTGAATGTGTGGGCAACTAGGAGAAATAAGATTATAAATAAAAACATTGACAAGATGCATAAAATAGGGTTTAGAATATGGTTCAGGCATGTGAAGAAGAGATGCACGGCTACTCCAATACGATGGTGCGAGATGTTAGCTATGAATGGTTCAAGAGACGTAAAGGTAGGTCGAAGAAGCATTATGGAGGGGTGATTAGATAAGATGACACAATTGCAGCTTATTGTGGACATAGACTAGGATAGAAGGTTATAATTAGTAGGTAGTAGAGCATTGTCTTTCTCATCCTTATCTTACTAGTAGTCATAGAATTTCTAATATAGTTTCTTGTCCTCCGATTTTCGTCATCTTGTACTTCAATTATCACACTATTTTATTGTAGTTACTATTCCTTTTTTTTAGAATGCTATGTCATGTTTTCCTTAAAATTTGTTTTGATCCCAAGATAGGAGGTAAAAGCCCGTATACTCTTCTCTCAGCATTATTCACTTGTGAAATTACATATTTTATATATATATATATATATATTTCTTTTTTCTTAAGCAAACTGTCAAGTCAGTGTGACTGTGTGTAAAAAGAAATATACTATTTGTCTATACTTTGCTTATTTTCAACCGTGCGTGTAAAGTTCACATTTTTTATGTGAACTTTTGTTGGCATTGCCTTGTTATATTAATCTTTCTTTGCGCACAAGAAACAAATAGCCGCAAAAATTGTGGTGTACAAACTGAAAGATCTCTATAGTAGTGGAAAGAGTCAGAAAACACAAAATTCGTGATCAGCAAGAATATTATTTTTGGAGATTAGTGTTATAAATAAACTTTTTATATTTGTGATTTAGGGATGGCTCAATATTATTAAGAAAAAATGCTTTTTTTTATGTCTCTAAACTAAGAATAAATGAGAATTTTATACTTAAAGTTATTTCTTCTAATTATATAGAAATACGACATTTGTGTCAAAACCTAGCTATAACCAAAAGTGATAAAGTTGGCACTACATTTCCTTGTTAATAATAACTTAGTCCCCAAGGAAAAACCCTAAGATAAGAATAGTAAATATAGTTAAGAAATTCACACTATCAGCACACGCTACTACCAAAAAAAGAAGAATAAAGACAAGTTATTTTTATACTGATTTCGTTTCCTAAAAAATGAATCCCAATTCGACTAGGAAAAGGATTTTAACAAAATTAAACACAATTATATAACGAAGAATCATTGGCCAAAACAAAATACAAAACTTCCATTTATTTATTTATTATATATATATAAATTATAAATTATATATACCTTTTGATATGTCTTCTCACATTCCACAAAGGTGATTTTCTTCTCTTTAATTTTCTCTTTTCTATCTACTTTTTATAATTTTTAAATTAAATAAGTAGAAACAACTGCCAACTTTGTAGTAGTACTCAGTATTTTGGATTTATTGTGTGCTATTTTCTGATTTAGGTATTTGTTTCTCCTTCTTTGCTTAAAATTACAAAAGAAATTACTTTTGATTAATCTTAAAACTATTTATATAACCATGGATTTTTGTGTTGACAGGAAACTGAAAAGAAGGCGTAATGGATCTGATTCCATAGATGAGATTTTATTAAGATGGAGAAATTTTAATAAGGAGGTTAATTCAAACAATGAACAAGTGAAGAAGAAGAAGAAGAGAAAATCTCCGGGTAATGGATCAAACAAAGGTTGTATGCCAGGCAAAGGCGGTCCTGAGAATTCTGGTTGTAAATACAGAGGAGTTAGGCAGAGGACTTGGGGTAAATGGGTGGCTGAAATTCGCGAACCTGTTTATATTAGTGGTGAGTATAAGAGCAAGGAAAGAGGCTTTGGCTCGGTACTTACTCGACTTCTGGTGACGCTGCTATTGCTTATGATGAAGCTGCTAAGGTTATGTATGGATCCAATGCCATACTTAATTTCCCCAATTGTTGTGACAGGTCGAGTAATACTCGAACATCTTCACTTGAATCGAGTGTTCAATCGTCTATTGATCATGAAGATTTAGGTGTTGATGATGCGAAGAATATTGAAATTGAGTCTGATTTGAAAACATCCGATACACCAGATGATGATGATGATGATGGTAATGGTGTTGTAAGTACAGATTTATGTTATGATTATGCTAATCATGGTTCACCTGCTCGTTGCTTGACTGATGAGGAATTAGAACTTATCCCGGAGAAGAACTCATTAATTGATTTGGAGTGCAATTCAAGATATTTTCCTAAATCTCAAAAATCTTGTGTTAAAGTTGAGATACCTGTAATAGAAGAAGAAATTGACAAGGATGAATTTGTACATAACGATGTCTCAAACACAATAGACGTGGAGCCAACCGTCATGTGTAGCAAAGATGACTTCTCGAGGCCTGATGAAAATTGTAACTCCAATGATCAAATTGTGCTACAGGACATGGATTACTCGATGAATATATTGCAAGAACAACCATTGGATTTCAGATCTTCTGAAAACCTGAATGAAGATGTGAGTACGAGTCTCGAATACATGGACCATTTTCTAATGAATGATAATTGCTCAATGGAAGCAACAAATATATCAGACATATTTTCTTTGAAAGAGAACCATGATGAAGGTTTCGATTTTCAGAGGTTTTTAGAAGAATCATTTGATTTCAAACCAATGATTGTACCTCAAGAGTCTTCTGAGCTAAACTATGCAAAGAATGAGGAGCAATTTGATTGTACATATGCATACAACCAGCAAATTGAGCTGCAGAACTCAGAGACAAATTCCGAGATTCGATCAGATGGAATTCAGAAGGAGCAAAACTTGGGTGCTTTCGGATTAGATGACTTTGGAGCAAGCAATAATTGGCAACCAGAGGATAATATCGAAGATTTGTCTATATTCAGCTTTGATTTTGATGTATCATCATATATAAATGATATTAATTAGGATAATATAATGTTTAAATTCATTATCCTTCTGATACTTTTGTAATTGTAGTCTGCTACAATAGAGATTATCATTTGGTTCTGACTTATTTTCTCATGTTTGATTGGTGATTGAAAAATATTGTCTAATATTTGGTTGGTGAATGAAGAAAATATTTTTGGCTAGAGAGTAGAAAATAACTTTTAGGAAAATAGTTTCGACCAGCAAACCAACCCCGATAACCGATTCAGGATCTGATCCCAACACTTGAACCCGAACACGATCTTGATGACCGATTTGGGATCCGACCCTGACACTCGATCAGAGACGTGACCTCGATTCTCAACCTGAGACCTGATATTCGAACAAGGACTTTACTCTGATTTCGACACCTGAAGAGGGACATGACCCCAACAACTCATCTAAGATCCGACCTAGGACACGACCCCGATTCCTGCTCAAGACTTAACATTTGAATTGGGACTCCACTCCGACCGCGACACCCAAACCTGAATACGACCCCGATAATTGAACTGGGACCTGACCTGGGATCCGTTCCCGACACCTGACCTCGACGAGTGATCCCAACCCGACCTCGACTCCCAACTCGGGTCTCGACTTTCGAATCGAGATCCAACTATGACAACTGATCCCGACTCTGACACTCCAATCTAGACATGACCTCGATGACCCGTTGGGATCCAACTTCGACACGCGATTCGAAAACCAACTTTCAACTCCTTAACCTAAGAATCAATACCCAAATCGAGACTCAATAGCTGAATTAAAACCTAGCTTTCTAACCAAGACCCGATCCTGACACCCAATTTGAGACCTGACTTTATAAGAGGGACCCAAACCTGACTCAAGATCCGAACCGACTTTCGACTCCTGATTCGAGACTCAAACCTGAAGACTAATCCAAGACACGACCCTGAAATTTGACTTTTAAATTGATACCCGAACCGATCCCGACTTCCTAACCAGGACCTGACCCCAACACTTGGTGTGAGACATGATCTTAATACCTAACCCATGACCTGATTTCTGACATGTGCAGGGGTGGGTGAAACGACGATTTTTGTCTGAAGTTAGAGTTGTCAAAAAGGGCTGGCCCAGCCCCACCCGACCCAAGCCTCACGGGCCAAGGAATTTGAAGGGCTAGGGCGGGTTGGCCATTCATTCAGAAAGGCCTGAAAATGCTCAACCCAACCCTAGAAGGGACGAGGCCTGGGGCGGGCAAGCCCTTCTTTTTTTCATTTTTTTCTTTCCAAACTTATAATTCTATAACATCAAGAAAATGAGAAGATTTTCAAATCATATATGAGAAACAATGGTGTTGTTTTAATAACACTAGCAAAAAAAATTAGTGTAATCAGCGTGTAGCTAGCATACCAGATATGTGAGCGAGATAAGAGAGTGACAAGAAAGATTGGAGGGAGGCGAGGGCGTGAGATTTGTCTATGCATCCTAGATACATGCAAATCTACTTGAATAGAATGTATCTAGAACATATTAACCTAATTTTAAGTCTATATATTCCGAGATACATGTATCTGGACATACCAAAATTTGGTAAGATTCATAATATTACAACATAGCGTATATTTAAGTAATTAGATTATATACTAGTGAGATTACTGTAAGCTACCCTTAAATAAAAAGTTTTCGCCCATGGGCCAACCCTGGCCCGGCCCCGATCAAGCTTCAAGGGCCAAAGGCTTATATGGGCCGGGCTTATAAGCCCTAGTTTTTAATGGGCTTAAAAAATCCTATCCTAACCCTACCCTAATAACGGGTTGGGTTGGGCCAACCCCATGGGCTAAGCCCGTTTTGACAACTCTATCTAGAGTATTGTGTGTCAAAAAGGTGTCACCAAAACTTAAGGACAAGTTTTATAGGTCTAATGGTGGTTAGACCAACTAAGTTGTATGGGGCGAGTTGTTGGCCAGTTAATAAAAACTCTCACGTTCAGACAATAAAAATTGCAAAGATGAGGATGATTCGGTGAATGTGTGGGCAACTAGAAGAAATAAAATTATAAGTAAAGACATTCGTGACAAGATGCGGAAAATAGGGTTGAGATGGTTCAGACATGTGAAAAGGAGATGTACGAATACTCTAGTGCGGGTGGGTGAGATGTCAGTTATGAATGGTTTCAAGAAACGTAAAGGTAGGTCAAAGAAGCATTGGGGAGAGGTGATTAGATAAGATGACACAATTGCAGCTTATTGTGGAAGACACAGATTAGAGTAGAAGGTTATAATTAGTAGGTAGTAGATCATTGTCTTGCTCATTCTTATCTTACTAGTAGTCATAGAATTTCTCCTATAGTTTCTTGTCCTCCGATTTTCGTCAAAATTCTTTTATCTCTTGTACTTCGGTTATCGCACTATTTTATTGCAGTTACTGTTCCTTCTTTTTTCTCTAGAATGTTATGTCATGTTTTCCTTAATATTTGTTTTGATATGCTTTTTCTTGAAGCGTGAGTATATTATAAACAACCTTTCTAACTCTCAATTCCACTACACATATTCCACTTAAATGATTACATTAAATATATATATTCTTTTAAAACGTTCTTAATAAATATTTTTTAAAGCAAACTGTCGAGTTTGTATGATTGTAAAAGAAACGTACATTAAAACCTCTCTAAATTAATATAGGCGGGACTATGAAATAATATTATTTTGTAGAGGTATTATTTAATCGATAAATTAATATTTATTAATTTAAAGAGTGTTTCGAAACCAAAAAAATTGTTTAGTAATGAAATCTCAAAGAATTTGAAAGAACCCACTTGTGAAAACGTCATTCATGAACTTGAGGTCATGATTAATTATCTCGGTTATCGCAATAAAATGAATGTTAATAACCTATTGGATGGGTGAAAATGATACATGTTCAGAGGTACAAAGCTTAGAACAAATTGTGGATATCATTGAAAAAACAATGTTGATGATAAAGTTGAAGATGATACAATACATTTGGAACCAGTTACACGTGAGGAAGCACTTCCATCTAGAACTCTTCACAATTTTATGGTGCAACTAGAAAAGACAACATCGAAACTTTTGGATGTAATAAGAAAAGTTAGAGATGAGCTTCAACTAGATTTAAATTTTAACAAAAAAAACAGAATATGATAGAATCATATTTCACTAAATTTTCTTAGATATATCTGTACTTTTAAAGAATTGCTCCCTCCGTCCCATTTTATGTGGCAACATTTCCTTTTTGGTCAATCCCAAAAAGAATGTCACATTTCCTTATATGATAAGTATTTAAAGGTACAATTCCTTTTTTATCCTTGTTGGTCTCACTTAATCTTAAAATAATACTCCAATAAATTTATGAGGAGAGAGAAAAGTGAGTCTACTTTTTAAAGGGCAATTTGGTAAACATTCCAAAGTCTTCATTTATTTCTTAAATTCCGTATCCAGTCAAATGTTGCCTCATAAAATGGGATGGAGGGAGTATTAATTTATAATATTATTGGGACCATATATTTATATAGAGGTCTTCTGAAAATATATTATCTTATTATCTTATCGAAATGAGTGATTTTTTCCATTGGCCCAAGTCGAGACCGGATGAAAATAAATTATTATTAATTTAATGAGGTTTTACTATAGTAGTTTGTTTTGGATGTAATTGGTGTTACATAAATTGCAATAGGGTCAATTTATCATCACAAATCAGTACATATTCTATATTTTATTTATCTGTACTTTGCTTATTTTCAACTGTGCGTGTAAAGCGTAAACTACACATTTTTTTATGTGAACTTTTGGCATTGCCTTGTTATATTTATTTTTTTGGCGCACAAGAAACAAATAGCCACAAAAATTGTGGTGTACAAAATGAAAGATCTCTATAGTACTGGAAAGAGTCAGAAAACACAGCATTCATGGTCACCAAGAATATTTTTTTGAAATTAGTGATATAAATAAACTAATAAAAAATATTAAAAAAGTGATAATTGTACTCACAGTATTTGATATATTATTATTGTGAAAAGGTCATTTTTGGATATGGTTTTAAGAAATTTCTTATGTTACTTATATAGTTTATTCTCTCACCAGTATACATTGAATGTTTTAAATAAATAATATTTGATTATTAAGAAACAATAAACATTATGCATAATAAATTTATTTTTACAATGAATCATTAAATTCTTGAATTTATTTTACAATGATTGATTTAACAAAAAAAATTACAATGAATCATACACATAATACTTTATGTGTAATGAATTTATTTTTATGTGAATTCAATAAATATGATACATAAATTAGTAAGATACAATAATTTTGATATAATCAAAAATCAACTTTCATTAAATTTCTAAAAACTCTTTAAACTAATAAGTATTAATTTATTGGATTAAATAATACACCTACAAAATAATAATATTTCATGGTCCCACCAATATTAACATTTTAATGTAATTGCCACTACATTATTTGTACATTTATTTCATTTCCTAAAAAGTGAATCCCAATTCGACTAGGAAAAATGATTTCAACAATTCATCATCATATAAATATACCACAGATCATTGGCCAAACCAAAATACAAAACTTCCAATCAAAGCTTACTTATTTATTTATAAATTATAATATATACTTTTCATGTCTTCTCACATTCCACAAAGGTGATTTCTTCTCTTATATTTTCTCCTTTTTATCTACTTTTTATAAATTTTAAATTAAATAAATAGAAACAACTGCCAACTTTGTAGTAGTACTTGTTAGCATTAATGTTTTGATAATGATTGCAGGACATAGGATCAGTTGGACTCAAAAAAAGGAAAAGTAACATCAACAGGATAAACATGGAAGGAAATATATTTAGAGCAGATCAAGAATACTCACTCAAAATGAAGGGATCATGAAGACAGATTAGCAAGGAACAAATCAAGGCTAACAAATCTAAAAGATTCACTCACTCAAATGGAAGGAATCAACATGGAGCAAATCAAGGCTAACGAATCATGAAGTCAATAATCTGTACAAGGCAGATTCTCACAAAGAAGGAAGGAAAATATTTACACAAACATATCTGATATGGACGTGTTTACACTCAATCAAGGAATCCTTACAAATCCTTGATTGAAAGAAAATCCCTTGGGTTTTCCTTGAAGAGCAGAATTATCATCCATCTCCAACACTATAAATTATCCGCACCCTCAGCATAGAGAATTACGAACTTCACTTGAACTTGTATTGTTGCTTTCTTTTATCTTTGAGAAAAACCTTGTAGTCTGTCTAGTCTACAATTGTAACAGAAAAGAGAAAGAATAATCTCTAGTATAGGTTTTACAAGTAGAGGTTGCGTCAAGATAAGAAGTCTGATTTGCATATCAGACAAGTACTGAATACTCCAACATTGTATCACCAAGTTCACTCAAAGCTCTTAAGGAAAACCCTTGTAACCCAAGGGGACTGGAAGTAGGCACCACATCGGTGTGTGTGCTATTTTCTGATTTAGCACACAATATATTTTTATCTTCTTTTTATAAAATTGATTTCAAGCCATCTTTTTATTGATTAATCATAAACTATTTATATGACCATAAATTTTTGTGTTAATAGGAAACTGAAAAGAAAGTGTAATGGATCTAATTCGACAAAGGAGATTTTGTTAAGATGGAGAAATTTTAACCAAGAGGTTAATTCGAACGATGAACAAGTGAAGAAGAAGAGAAAATCTCCGGGTAATGGATCAAAAAAAGGTTGTATGCCAGGCAAAGGCGGTCCTGAGAATTCGAGTTGTAAATACAGAGGAGTTAGGCAGAGGACTTGGGGTAAATGGGTGGCTGAAATTCGCGAGCCTGTTTATATTAGTGGTGAGTATAAGAACAGAGGAAAGCGACTTTGGCTAGGTTCTTTTGCTACTGCTGATGAGGCTGCTATTGCTTATGATGAAGCTGCTAAGGTTATGTATGGATCCAATGCCACACTTAACTTCCCCAATTATTGTGGATCGTCGAGTAATGATACATCTTCACTTGAATCGAGTGGTCAATCGTCTGTTGATCATGAAGATTTAGTGGTTGATGATGCAGAGAAGATTGAAATTGAGTCGGATTTGTAAATACAGATTTAAGTTATGATTATGCTAATCATGGTTCACCTGCTTGTTCCTGGACTGAAGAGAGCTTGGAAGTAATCATGGAGGAGAACTCTGAGATAGAATTAACTGATACAGACGTGAAGCCAACTTTCATGTTTAGCGAAGATATCTTGAGGCCTGATGAAATTTGTAACTCCAAAAACCTGAATGAAGATGGTACGCGTCTAGAATACATGGAGCATTGTCTAATGGATGACAATTATTCAATGGAAGCAACAAAAATATTAGATACCTTTTGTTTGACTGAGAACAATGATGAAGCTTTCGATTTTCAGAGGTTTTTAGAAGAATCGTTTGATTTCAAGCAAATGATAGTACCTCAAGAGTCTGCTGAGATAAACTATACGAAGAATGAGGAGCAATTTGATTGTACATATGCATACAACCAGCAAAATGACCTCCAGAACTCAGAGACAAATTCCAAGATTCGATAATATGGAATAATAAGCAGCCAGGCTGATTCGAAGGGCCAAAACTTGGGTGGTTTTGGATTAGATGACTTTGGAGCAAGCAATAGTTGGCAACCAGAGGATAATATCGAAGAATTGTCTATGTTCAGCTCTGATTTTGAGGTATCATCCTTTCTTAATTCGGAAAATATAGTGTTTCAATTCATTATCCTTGAAAATGAACTGTTTATTTATAATGTAATTCAAAGTATGATGAACTGTTTCGATTCATAATGAAAATTGAACTCTTTATACTAGTATATTTCACATAAACTGTTTAATTTTACAAGGTGGACTTAACTGAAATTTTGCAAGCATTAATGGAGTATTTGTAAATCAGTTTAGAGACCATAGGATCAAAATAAGATATGCTACATTTGTTAAATTGATGATATTCCTTCCAAAATTTCCTTTGTTGATTGAACACCACCATTATACATGAACAATTTCGTCAAATTGGCATCTCTACTCCTTGGCATCAACTTATCGAGAATGCCAAAGCTAAGCTTAAGATCATTAAGACTTTTTGGAAGCTGCTTGAAGAAGGGATTGTCTAACTAAATACGGATGGTTGTTCAAGAGGAGATCCAAGAACCAGTGGAGGCGGAGGTAACATGATCGCGGCCTTCACAGCACCTTTAAGTCAACAAAGCAACAATTATGCTGAGACAAAAGCCCTCCAAATTGGTTTAGAGTGGTGCAAACTGCAAGTCTTTGCCAAGATTATAGCTGAAGTAGATTCGTTATTAGTTGCAAATTGGATAGAGGGTAAGATAAAGACTCCTTGGAACCTGAATTGTCCAAGCAAGCCAAAGGATTGAGCCTAATGGATACAGACCAATTTGTGCCAATTTCATTTACGAGGACAATAGATAACACTAATAATTTTATTTGTTATTTTCAATGTGCTATATTATCAAGCTACACAGAGGAAAAAAATCCACTCATTCATCTTGATTATTGTTGTAATATTATGAATTTCGAGTCAAAATTTGGACATATTCGTAACAACCAAGTTTTTTGAGGAGGTTAGGTTTTATGTCCTTTCCTGAATGTATTCACCTCTTGGATATTAAATTACTTACAAAAATAGGAGTCTTAGCTAAACACCGACACTACAAGGCGACTACAAAAGATAGATAGAAGGCAGTAAGATGAAATACATAAGCAATTGGATAAAAAAGTAATTCTAGATGGGAAGACAAATGGATTTACATAAATCCTAGCATGAATTTTAGGTTTATGGTTCGTCCAATAATCTCAAGTTAATATATAATAAATCGAACCAATGGACTAGGTTCCGACACAAAATTTCATATATATTTAATGAAATTTTTTAAATATAAATACATAGTCTAAAAAAAATTACTAGTGAACTCGTAACTAATTGTTATAAATCCGGCTTCAGATACATCCACAATTCAACTCAGAAAATTGAGTAGAGTAGCCTGGAAATAAAAAGTTTATTTACAAGCACCAGCAGATATAAATTTGCAATTCTCCCTTCTTGTTTATCTGTATTTCATGGACAGGATGAGTTCTGTATTTCATGGACAGGATGAGTTCGGCAAAATTGGCCATTAGCTTTAACTTAAATTTTGTATTTGAGTTTAAAAGTTTTCAGGAATCCACTGAGCTGCATTATTTAATATTCAGAACTTATAAAAAATCAAAATTCTAATTTCAACTTTGTTGGTACTCAAAATTAGAGATTCGCCTATGAATTCGGCAAAACTAACAACGTATTTATACTTAAAAAATGTACTTAATTTGTAAAAACAATTTATTAGGAATCTACTAAAGCTGCACAATTTAGTATCCAAAAGTTATAAACTCAAAATTCCTCCCTCAGCTTTATTGGTACTCAAAACTGAATTCGGCAAAAGTAGTAGCTAACTTTAACTACTTTTAAATTCTGTATTTGTGTTAAAAAAACTATTTAATATGTAACATTAATTTATCAAGAATTCACTAAACTTCTTTTTATGATATTGAAAACTCACAAACTAAAAATTCTAATTTCACCTCCATTGATATGATACTCAATTTGTTTTGACAACAATTTTATTACCCATAGAAACAAAAGCTACAAATAAATATGCGAGTGTCATGTGAATATATACATGTTTTTTATTTGACAGTCTTCACTCACTCACAATTCTAACATGTGAATATATATATGTCTTACGATTGTTTTTCTAAAAACTTATTTTTGAAAACTAACAAAAACCAAATATTAATGTCACCTTGATATTATCATCCACTTGCCATTGTATTTTAGTGAAGCATTTAAAGGAAAACGTGGAGCCATAACCACCTTAAATTAAAGCTAGCAAATAAATACTGTCGGAAATTTGGTATTTACTTTTCAGTCTGCGTAATCAGATTATAAAATTAATACTATATGCTGAAAAAAAATAATCATTCATGCTAATCATATACTTTATGTTGCTCAAATTTTTCAAAAGTATACTATTTTTGAAAGATTAGATACATACCAATCAACACTTATTTGAGGAATTCGAGCAATGTAGCTAATGCTTCTTTTGTTTATTTTTTATTTATCATATTTGGACTTGACATATTCATTAAAAAAATAATGAATGACATGACTATTTTACTATATTATTTCTATTAAATGATGTTTAATATTAAGTATTAAAACAAAAAAATAGATAATTAATGCTAAGGATAAAACATGAAAAAATAACCATTTTTTAAAAATATGTTAGAAATAACAACTAAAAATTAAAATCCATTTTAAAAGAGGAAACAAATGAAAGTGAACAAATAAAACGATTAATGGTAGGTAAGCATTTAAACTAAGCATAGGAAAATATGAACACTAACCTAATAATGGACCAATTATAACCTTCTACACTAGTGTATCGGGCCGGGCTGGTTGGAGGTCATCCCAGTCCAATCCATTAGCAGGCATAGGCTTAATAGGTGAGTCTTAAGGGGCTTAGTTCGGGCTCGGGCTCGGGCTCGGGCTCAGGTGCAGGCTGGTCTCATCAGGAGCCTAGACCGGTACTGTGGGCCCAACACATAGAGAACCTCTTAACTAGGCCTTCACCCTCTATCCCCTTTCAGGGGTTCCAAGCCCAACCTTATCTAATTAGCGGTCAGTCAGTCAGTCACTTAACATTCTTACCTTCCGCAAAGTATCATATACAAACTTATAAAATGTACCTAATTAATCAGCACATCACATGTTGCGCTCTTGCAACTGAAGCAAACATCATCATAACATATTTAGCATGAAAGATCAACATGAAGCACCAAAAGCGAGCATGAAGAAGCCATAAAACTCAAGATGGATAGCGCTATAGATAGTTATTAAGATGTATTCATGGTGCTATCCCTCCTGAGCTTTATAGATTCTCTATACCAATTCCACAAGAACAACATACATAGTTTATCTCCAACACATATACATATATATTGAGTGAGAAAATGAATGGCAAAAGGAGAAAGAAGTACTAATAAAAAGATATATAGATAAATGTATGGTTGGGAAGTGTTAAAAGGGAAGGGGGGCCTATTTATAGTAGCAAAAGTAACATGGGAATTGACCAAGTATTTCAACAACATGTGTAGGTAAACATTTTTTTGTCTCTAAATTGGACTGATTTTTCCTTTTGGTCTTTATTTGCAAAAAATAAAATACTTTAAATAGTTAAATATTCCTCTGCCGACTACGTTACTCTCCTTCCAATACTTGAAATAATTAAAGTATTTAGGTACGGTATCATGAATTGAAAATTGTGAATTATTTCTTGCTTTTACAAATGGCTATTGAATTTCATTTACAACTTGGTCTTATGTGAGACAATTTTCCAAATTTTACGTTAGATTCATCATTGCAAACACAAAATTCTTGAGATATCCTTTGACTATACCTAAACATGAATTATTCTTGTAAACAAAAAGACATGATTGAAATATCTAAAATTTTATCAGTTTACATCCAATGTTTTGCATCCGCGAATCTAAGATTTGTAGAATATAAATATGATGTCAATAGATAGTATTATATCGATTTTAGAAAATATATACATAAAACATCTAATTTTACAGAGAAAGCACATGTTCACGTATCCCAATTTTTTAGTGTGTAAATTCTACCCTTTTCATAACCAATCAAGGGTTTTCAACATCGAAATTGTCATTGTTGCAAATTAAAAGAAATGGGTTTTTAATTTAAATATAGAAATTGAGTATAAATCAAGTGTTGTTTTTAAGTTTGGAAATGTTTACAAGGATGAAATTGATAGTTCAAACTTCAAAAAGTAAGTTTGAAGTTTGACTTTCACCCGTGCCGGCTCTATAAGATTTGTTTTTTAGAAAAAAAAGACACGTACTTTAGGCCCTCAAATTTTGAGGAGGTCCATTTTTTGTTTAGCAATAATATATTATAGGTTTTTAAGAAAAAAGAAGTATTGAACACTATTTGTACAACTAATGAAGAAGTTTGATATATTTGGAATATTTTATGTTTCAAAGATTAAATGAATTGATTATATTATCAGTTAAAAAAGAATTATTAGAAAATTTATTGTTAAAAGTTATTAGCGACTTTGCATCTTAAAAAACTAGAAAAATAGATATTATAAAAGTATATTTATTTTTCCTAAAGTTTAAGGCATGTGTTTGATTTTGACTTTAACCTACAAATATGCTCGAGTCACTCCTAGTTTTGGCAAGTCAAACATTAGGCAACATGTTAAAAGTTATCTTTACGAGTCAAATTTCAGACAAAAATGTTAGAAAGTTTATGGTCAAACTTCATAATCAGATTTTTTGCAACTTTAATCGCATATACTTGAATTTGATTCCGAAACGATTACAACAACAACAATATCTAATTTAATTTCACAAGCTAGTTACAAAGCGATTAAATTTTTAAATTTTTATACACTACGCTATAACTTAAATTATAAATTTAATTGCCATGTATTAGTATGATTGAAGATGTCTTTTTTAAGTTAATGAAGTCATTGACCTTATATGTTTTGTAATATTTTCCCACCTCACATCCAATGATGTTAAACAGGGATAAAAAATCTCAAATTACGTCAGTATCACCTAAATCCCTTGGGGGACCAATGTAATCTTCGTTTTTACTATATAAGATCCAAGTAATCGTGAACCAATATATTTATTTTTTGGCAATAATGTGAGTATGAAAATCGTATGTGATGGAAATAAAATTGACAAGATAGCACAACTATATAAGATTTCCTTAAGCCTAGGCGCACCGCAAGGTTATTCTTTTAAGTAGTTAATTCATTGTGGGGTCGATATTAGAAAATTAAATATGCAAAAAAAAATTATGTCGGTTGAGCATTAGTGTTCAAATTCTTTTATATGAATGAAAAGGCGAAGTTAGAATTTGAAATTGATGAGTTCGAAATTCTAATTATTTTATGTTACTATTATAAGAAAGGGAAAAAAAATTGCCAAAATTTTTGGCCAGAATGATATTTTATTTATGTTATTTTACCTTTTTAAATATTTTTACCCTTTTAACTTTAATACCTTTTAACAAAAAAATGGGAAAAAGATCAATTTATTTTAAAATAAAAAATATATTATAATTTTTTTAATTTTCTGATCAAATTCTGACCAAATTTTCTGGCCATTTAGCATTTCCCTATAAGAAATTTACCACTTTTTTTTTTATTGATTTTCATGGATCAGATCAAAACAATTCTTGAATGATTCCAAGAATATATCAAAACATTTCGGAAAAAATTGTATTGTATTTAATAATCTTATTATTCTTTTCAAATAATCAAAGAGGAATCAAAAGGGATATTGAATATAAATCTTTAATTTTCCTCTTGAACTTTATTCTACATATAACATTCACATAATTACGCATTTACCACTAATTAATAATCTTTTTTATAGATATATTAAAAAAGATAAACTAGATACATGTATTTTTAATATCAAATACATTAAAATAGTGAGAGAGGTGAGCGAGATGGGTAGGAAAATAGTTATGTATCGCAGATACAAGCGAATCATATCAAAACACCAGATACATATATTTGTATGTATTTGATGTGATTCACATGTATCTGAAATAGTTAATTAATAAATATGAGAATAGTGAGTAAGATCGAAACTAGAAAGAAGGCGAACAAGATTTATCTATGTAACTTAGGTACATATAAATCTACTTAAATATAGTGTATTTAGCACAAACTATACACATTTTTTATCCTATATATTTTAAAATACATATATTTAGATATATCAAAAATCTGATAAGATTAGTACTCCCTCCGTTTCACAAAGAATGACCTCCTTTCCTTTTTAGTCAGTTTCAAAAAGAATGACCTCTTTCCTTTTTTGGTAACATTTTACTTTCTGCTTTCCACGTGGCATGTTTAAGACCACAAGATTCAAAAGTCTTCTTTATTTACTTAAACTCCGTGCCAAGTCAAACTAGGTCATTCTTTGTGAAACGGAGGGAGTAATATAATAACGTAAAGACGAGGAATGTCAGGTATTAGGTGAACCATTTAAACATTAAAGAGATTTCGTCATAATTATAGTGTTTGGGTATTAAGTAGTCTTGAGGTTTGAGAGAGACTTTTTGGGAATTTGAACCCCTCTTTTCTGACTCTCATCATTTCTAAGCACTCAATATGAGTAGGTAAAAAGAAACTGCATGCCACAGAAAATTAATTATTCTTATAACTTAGTCGGACGGATTCAGAATTTGAATGCGATGGGTATTATTATTTTTCAACATAGAATTTGAATGTGACGGATATTACTATTTATACATGATTAAAATTATTTTTTATGTATATATTAGATGTTGAACCTCTTTCAATTAGTTTGTGTGTTTAATTCTTCAAATTTTAAACTCTTTTATTAAAAATTCTAGCTTCACCTTCCGTTAGAGTTCTATCAAATATATTATGCTATAGGTTTGATTTTCAGCTCACCTTTTTAAGTCATTTGAATTAAAAAAAAAAATACTAATTAAAAGTGATATTTTGGCATCCCGGGTCACAAGTATGAAAATATTTTGTTCACTTTTTGAATATGAGTTAGTACAATTGAAAGTAGTTTTTTAAGTATAAAGTGTTGAATTTTTTTTTTGGTAAAACTACCTTTTTTGTGTAAATGAGTTGAAATATTAAAATTCATAAACAATAGTCGATGTGTCTAATAAAAATGTTGATAGATAAAATTTATGTTAATGAATAGTATGTATATGCATAAGGAGAATAATGAACAACAAAAATAAGATGAGTTGAGGATTACCAACTTATAACTTTTGGATAATTTTGATTTATAAGAACTTAGTTAGCATATAAACACTTTTGGATATTTATCAAATACACAAATAAGTTTTTTTTAGAAACTTACAAGTAGTTTGATCACATTATAAGTTTAGATAAATACCTTTTATATTGATTTTGAATATTTTATTTTCAGTTTTAATTTGTCATGTTGGTTAAGATTGATGTCCAATATTTCTTTGGTAAGTTCTATTCCAGTATTCGAATTTCGAAATTTTTTAAATTAAATATATTGCCCGTTACACTACCAGATAGAGGTATTTTTCATTGTGAACCAATGATAAATTTGTGTTATAAAGCATGATTTTTGCACTCAATTCTCACCGAATAAGCTTATTAGAAAAATGCATAGTGAGAAATAGATTCTCACTGAAATAATGGGAAGATTTCTGATTTTTTGTATGAAATACATATTTTTTTTTCACCGTTACATCAATACAGATTTTATTTTATCATAATCTCTAAAATCCCTACCATTTAAAAAATTACAAAAATCCCCTCTCGGATACATCCCTCTCATTAAGCAATATATCATTTGCAACCCGTGAGCTGTATATCCAATATCCACCAGTTTCCTAATGTATCCGAGTTCCTATAAATTTAAGGAACTTTTGTAATTTGAAAAAGAATAGGAATAGAATATAATTAACTCTTACTATGAAATTTATGTAATTTTTACTAATTTGATTTCTTCTTCTTCTTTTTATTTTTTGGAAAAATTACTTAACTACACACCATTTATTATCATATTTTCTTATTTTCCCTACCATTTCAAAAAATATCAAAAAACCCTTTCTTTTCCTCCCATCATCCCCTTTTCCGGATACATTAATTTGAAATCTCATACCCATATTTTCCTTCCTTTTCTCACGCCACAAATCTCTCCATAATTACATCAATTAATCTATCTTTGAATTTCAAATCTTTTTTATTTTCAATTAATGATTTCAAATTATTCAAGAGGTAGATTTCTTTCCATCACTTCAATTTCCGATTTCTTTTATTATTATTTTTAATTTTTTCATCTTAAAAAATAAAAATAAAATT